GTTTTCATGCTGCTAATAAAAATACACCTGAGACTGGGCAATTTACAGAAGAAAGAGATTTAACGGACTTACAGTTCGATGTGGCTGGGGAGGCTTTGCAATCACGGCGGAAGGTGAAAGGTGTGTCTCACATGATGACAGACAAGAGAAGAGATATTTTGCAGGGAAATCCCTGTTTTTAAAACCATCAGATTTCATAAGACTTATTCACTGTCACTAGAACAGCACAGGAAAGACCCACCCCCATGATTCAATCACCTCTCACCAGGTTCTTCCCAGGACACATGGGAATTGTGGGAGTCAAAATTAAAAATGAGATTTGGATGGTGACACAGCCAAACCAATCTTTTTGCCCATGGCCGCTTCCAAATGTCATGTCCTCAAATTTCAAAACCAACCATGCCTTCCCAACAGTCCCCCAAAGTCTTAACTCATTTCAGCCTTAAGTCAAAAGTCCACAATCCAAAGTCTCATCTCAGACAAAGCAAGTCCCTTCCACCTATGAGCCTGTAAAATCAAAAACAAATTAGTTACTTCCAAGATGCAATGTGGCTACAGGCATTGGGTAAATACCATCCATTCTAAATGAGAGAAATTGGCCAAAACAAACGGGCTACAAGCCCCATGCAAGTCTGAAATTCAGTGGGGCAGTCTAATCTTAAAGCTTCAAAATGATTTCCATTGACTCCATGTCTCACATTTAGGTCACGTTGATGCAAGAGGTGGGTTTCCATGGTCTTGGGCCGCTCTGCCCTGTGGCTTTTCAGCTGGCTGCTTTCAAGGGCTGTCATTGAGTGTTGCGACTTTTCCACACAGTGGTGCAAGCTGTCAGTGGATCTGCAGTTCTGGGGTTTGGAGGACAGTGGCTCTCTTCTCACAGTTCCACTAGGTGGCGCCCCAGTAGGGACTCTGTGTAGAGGCTCCAATCCCACATTTCCCTTCTGCACTGCCCTAGCAGAGGTTCTCCACCAGAGCCCCCCAACCCTCAGTAAACTTCTGGCTGGACATCCAGGTGTTTCCATACATCCTCTGAAATCTAGGTGGAGGTTCCCAAACCTCAATTCTTGATGTCTGTGCACACACAGGCTCAACACCATGTGGAAGCTGCCATGGCTCTGAAGTCACAGCCCAAACTCTATGTTGACCCCTTTCAGCCATGGATGGAGAAGCTGGGACACAGGGCACCAAATTCCAAGGCTGCACGGAGCATGGAGACCTGGGCCCAGCCACCTTTTTCCCCTAGGCCTCCAGGCCTGCGATGGGAGGGGCTGCCATGAAGACCTCTGACATGCCCTGGAGACATTTTCCCCATTGTTTCAGGGATTAACATTCAACTCCTCATTAGTTATGCAAATTTCTGCAGCTGGCTTGAATTTCTCCTCAGAAAATGGGATTTTCTTTTCTGTCACATTCTCAGGCTGCAAATGCTCTGAACTGTTATGCTCTGCTTCCCTTATAAAACTGAAAGCCTTTAACAGCACCCATGTCCCCTCTTGAATACTGCTGCTTAGAAATTTCTGCCAGATACCTTCAATCATCTCTCTCAGGTTCAAAGTTCCACAAATGTCTAGGGCAGGGGCAAAATGCTGCCAGTCTCTTTGCTAAAACATAACAAGAGTCACCTTTGCTCCAGTTGCCAACAAATTTCTCATCTCCATCTGACACCACTTCAGACTGGACTTTATTATCCATATTGCTACCAGCATTTCAGGCAAAGCCATTCAATAAGTCTTTAGGAAGTTCCAAACTTTCCAACATTTTCCTGTCTTCTTCCGAGGTCTCCAAACTGTTGCAACCCCTGCCTGTTACCCAGTTCCAAAGTTACTTCCACATTTTTGGGTATTTACAGCAGCATCCCATTCAGCGGGTACCAATTTACTGTATTAGTCTATTTTCATGCTGCTGATAAAGACATACCTGTAACCTGGCAATTTACAGAATAAAGACATTTAATGGACTTACAGTTTCACATGGCTGGGGAGGCCTCAAAATCATGGCAGAATGTGAAAGGCATGTCTTGCGTGGTGGTAGACAGAAGAAGAGAGCTTGTGCAGGGAAACTCCTGTTTTAAAAACCATCAGATCTCATGAGACTTACTATTATGAGAATAGTATAGGAAAGACTTACCCCCAAGATTCAATCACCACCCACCAGGTTCCTCCCATGACCCATGGGAATTGTGGGAGTTACATTTCAAGATGAGATTTTGGTAGTGATATGGTTTGGCTGTGTCCCCACCCAAATCTCATGTTAAATTTCCACATGTTGTGGGAGGGACCCAGTGGGAGGCAATTGAATCATGGGGGCAAATCTTTCCCATGCTGTTCTCATGATGGTGGGTGAGTCTCACAAGATCTGATGATTTTAAAAAGCGGAGTTCCAGAAACAAAACAAAAAAGCACTATTCAAACAAAAAATTAACAAAAAAACCCCCCAAACTAAACAAGATTACTCTCTCTCTCACCCCTTTCCCCACTTGGTGGACCCCAGTTTATAGTTGAATTTATTTTGTGGTTACCTCAGAATACAAATAAAAGTTTAAATTACAAATCATAGTCCTCCACAGGTGATCTGAACACATCAGTTCTTTTCAGCAGTGTGTTCCAGGAAGTCTAATATAGCCACAGCCTACTACAGAGTATTCCTTCAGGGTAGGGTACAGGACAGGTTAATTAAGGTCACTTAAATCTTCATCTTTTATAGCAGATCAGAACCTAGATGGCTGACTTTTTATGCAGGACTTCTGATAAGAATCCAGAAGAGCTGGTTTCAAGGTTCACATCGACACTTAATAATTGTAACCTTCTTAACAAGAAGTTGTGATCCACATGAAGTCCACAATGAGTGCAGCAAATCTGAGGTGGTCAACCCTTACGAAGGCTAGTATCTGCACATAACATGATTTTGAAATGACCATTGGCTGCAGGTTTGGTTTTGTATTTGCAGAGTAAATATGAAGGAACACTGTTGAAACTAGTTCACATATTTATATAACAATGAAAATTCTCCTAAATCCAATATGCATAACGCAGCCATGACACTTTAACTTCCACAGTGAAATAGGGCCAGTCGTGAAATCGACTGATCTGCATCTCTGTATATAGATCCAGCAGAGATCAGACGATGAATGGCTGTTCGTGGTGGTTAGGTGTATTCTAGTTATCTCAGAAGGGTTAGCAAAGGCCATTCCTTAATTGTATTGTGAGTGGCTCCTTTTCTGGTTTTTAGGCACAGCATAGTGGCCGTCTAGCTGAAGTTTAAGGACCTGGTTTTTTGAAACCTCATCCCTACCTCTATTTTTGTGTCTTATTACTTCAAATCTCTTCTCCATTTCTTTATCCTTCCGGCTGACTTTCTACATGCTTGGCTGTTGACTGCAGGGATGGGAACTGTGTATCACTGTAGATTTCTGGTGGTCCTTGTGGTGGTTACCCTGGCCCCAGGGGGCCTACACACACCAGTAGTCATTGCCAGTTCTAGGGTTTCTGTAACAATTACTGGAGCAGGAGGTGCTTGTACTGGAACTGTTTTATTCCAGGGACCTGAAGATTTTTCTATACCACCACCATCTCCACCTTCTTTCCAGTTATCACCTGGACCTTGTCTCTTCATTATCTTCTTCCTTTTCACTTATTTGCATTGCCTGAACCCTGAGGCCGCTGTAATCAACCTCTTTTTGCTCCAATCCTTTCCATTCATCTTCGTCCTTCTTCACAGCCTTGGTGGCGGCCCCTGAGTCCACAGTCCCCGCGGTTGCTGTGCTGCCTTGACCCAGCCGGGTTCCCGCTCGCTCCCTGCCGTCCCCTACACCCCCGGCGGCTCCACTGCTCCCGCCGCCCTGCCGGCTGCGCCCTCGGAACTCGCCGCCTGGTTGCTCCGCTCCTTCTTCTTCTTGTCCCAGTTGGCAAAGAAGTTGTGCAGGCTCCGCTCGTCTATCGCGGCCATGGCCTCGGCCTCCTGGACCCGGATGGGTGGAGCCGGTGGCGGGCGCGGCCCGCGGGGCTCCTAGCTCGGGTGGAGGCCGGCTCTGCGCTCACGCTGCCGGCAGCCGCGACGCCTCAGCCCCGCGGGGTCTCCGCGGAGTGCGCGGCGGGGCGGGCGGCTCCCCCTGTGCGCTGGCTAGCGATTTTTGTTCTACATTAAGGCCTTTTTGCTTTAACCTTAAATAAGTTCTTTGACAGAGCATATTGCCTGGTTAAGTAAGTAACCTGAAGTATGCCTTAGGATTGTGAAATGTCGTGAGTTTGCCAATCCTCAGGGTGGAACCAAAAAGCCTTTGATGTAAACGGTAGTGGATGCTGGAGGCTCTACATCAGGTGCTGCTAATGCCTCATCTAATTAGGTCTAATTGTATAGTAAACTGCAGTGGGAAGAATATGCTTTCTGGTGAGGCTAAGGGGTTCACTGATCTATCCTTACAAATTCAGAGCAACATGAGCAAAACCTCAGCTAAAACTCATTTAAGTGTCATGGATTGTGGATGATGTTTAAGAATTCCTTATATACTTGTGCCCAGATTTTCAAAGTATTGGCTGTTCTATAGATGCAGTGATTGTCCCAGCAAGCTTGGCTTTGTTTTCAACCTTTTGGCGTGTCTTTATGTTCATTGGAGAGTCAGGGCGAAAGACAAGTGATGTAGCACTTCTGGTTTTAGTGATTACAGCTTAAAATACCTATTAACAGTAGTTTTGGGTCCTTTAAAGGGACTCGAGGAAGCTACCCAGGATTACAGAAGAGTTTCCACCTAATGAGATAGTCTGGCAGTTTCCTAGTTTTGTATCTTCCGTTTAATAGAAATATCTGAAAGTGGTAATGTGACCACTTGATGCAGAGTCTGGGTTTCTCTATAAGAAGTCCCTTTGCCAAATGCATGAGTTGCAGACTTGCTACTGGCAAGAGTGAAGCAAGTGGGTGAGTAAAACTATTTTGATGTGGGAGCATTTTCAGATAGGAGTTTAGTCTTGATGAAAGTGTCTTGCAGGAATTGGACTCCAAGGAGGGTTACAGTATGTCCTGATGGGACTTGCCACCCACATATAGGAAATAATATTGATATTTGAAGTGGCAGGCATGATGCCTGCCTTCTAGTGTGTTTGGGTGAGCCAACCAAGGGGAGGTTGAATGATTAAATCAGAAAAGGAATTCTTGGTAACCTGAACACTTTATTTGGGAACTAAAACCTTACAAAATAGTCTCTTCATTGTTGAACTGTGTATTTTCCATGAAAAGTATGCATTTTTTCCCAGCAAAATTTTGTTGGGGGTTATGTTACTGAAGAATGAACAGAGATGAGTAAGTGGAGGTCTTATGTAAAGGCAATACTGTACTCGAAATCTGAAGACTTGCAGCAGATTTAAACTCCAACTCTTGTCACAACTTTTTAAAAGATTGTGAAAATATCAAAATGTACATGAATCGAGTTTTAATATCCTGTATGATAGGTAGATGAGGCTGTCCATTGTACCATTTGTTTGTATTCTCAGGCATGGTTTGGCAGTACAAGAACTCTCTAACATTAACAAATTTGATAAAAAGTAAATATATGGAAAAAACAAAAGAAGAGAGGAGTTCCTCTGCACAAGTTCTCTCTCTTTGCCTGCTGCCATCTATGTAAGATGTGATTTGCTCCTCCTTGCCTTCCACCATGATTGTGAGGCTTCCCCAGCCACATGGAACTGTAAGTTCAATTAAACCTCTTTCTTTTGTAAATTTCCCAGCCGGCAGTATGTCTTTATGAAAACGGACTCATACAGGTGGGGACACAGCCAAACCATATCAGTTCTGTTAATGCAATGTATGTGTATTGGTATGTACATATTCAACTATCATTGCATCCCTGGGATGAATCCCACTTGTTCATGGTGAATGATTTTTTTTAAATGTATCGGTGAATTCAATTTGCTAGTATTTTGCTGAGAATTTTTTGCACCTATGTTCATCAGACTTTAGGACCTGTAGTTTTCTTTTGTTGTCATTGTTGTTGTTTACTTGTCTGCTTTTGATATCACAGTCATGCTGGTCTTGCAGAATGAGTTTGGAAGTATTAACTCCTCTTCAATTTTTGGAAGAGATTGAGTAGAATTAATACTATCTCTTCTGTAAGTTTTAGTATCATCCAGCAGTAAAGCCATCAGGTCCTGGGATTTGCTTTGATTGGAGGCCTTTTATTCTTGTTTCAGGCTTTCATTATTATTATTGTTATTATTATTTTCATTTTTTTGACAGGATCTTGCTCTGCTGCCCGTGCTGGAGTACATGGCATAATCATAGTTCACTACAGCCTTGAACTCCTGGGATTATAAAGTCTTCTTTCCTCAACCTTCTGAGTCGCTGGGATTACAGGCATATGCCACCATGCACAGCAAATTTTTTATTTTTTGTAGAGACAGGGCTTTGCTATGTTGCCCATGCTGGTCTTAAACTGTTGGCCTCAAGCCATCTTCCTGCCTTGGCCTTCCAAGTGTCAGGATTACAGGCATAAGCCACCACACCAGACCCCTATTTCAGTCTTATTACTCATTTATGATTTGTTCAGATTTTCTGTTTCTTCATGGTTAAATTTTGGTAGTTTCTATGTGTCCAGAAGTTTATGTTCTAGGTTTTCCTATTTGTTGGGGTATAGTCCTGCGCATTAGCCTCTAATGATCATTCGTATTTCATTTTTAATGTCTCGTTTCTCGTCTTTGATTTTATTTAGTTGGTTCTTCTCTCTTTTTATGTCGAGCTCGAGAATTGTCATTTTGTTAGCTTTTTAAAAAACTAAATCTTTGGTTTTTTATTTTGTGTCATTATTTAAGTCTCAATTTCATCTAGTCCTGCTCTTATTTTTACTACTTCTTTCCTTATGCTAATTTAGGCTTGGTTGGTTTTTGCTTTTCTAGTTCCTTGAGGAGTATGGATAGGAAGTCTTTCTACTTTTGGATGTAGGCATTTATTGCTATACATTTCCCTCTTACAACTGTTTTTACTGTATCCCATAGGTTTGGTATATTGCAATGTCCTTTTTGTTTGTCTCAATGTATTTTTAAATTCCCTGTGTAATTTCTTCATTGATCCATTTACTGTTCAGGAACATGTTGCTTAATTTTCATAAATTTTTACAGTTTCCAACATTCATTTTGTTATTGATTTCTAGTTTATTCTGTTATGGTCAGAAAAGATGCTAGACATGATTTAGTCTTTTAAAAAAATTGTTGACTTGTTTTGTAGCATAACATATGGCCTGTTTTGAAGAATATTCCATGTGCTGATGAGAAAATGTGTATTCTGGAGCTGTTGGATGAAATGCTCTATAAATTTCGGTTATGTTCATTTGGTCTAGCGTGCAGTTTAACTCCAAAATTTGTTGATTTTCTGCTTAGGTGATCTGTTCATTGCTGAAAGTGGGATGTTGAGGTCCTCTAATGTTACTATATTGTAGCCAGTCTGTCTCCTTAGGTCTATTAGTATTTGTTTTATATATTTGGATGCTCCAGTGTTAGATGCAAATTTATTTACAGTTGTTATGCCCTCTTACACCATTGTTTCCTTTTTCATTCTGTAACGGCCTCTTTGTTCTAATTACCGTTCCTTATTGAAGTCTATTTTATCTGATATAAGTGGAGCTACTCCTGTTGTTTTTAAAATTTCTATATGCATGAAATATCTTTTTAAATTTATCCTGTTTTAGTCTGTGCATATCTTTATAGATGAAATGGGTTTCTTGTTGACTGCATATAGTTCTTTTTTTTTGAAATCAATTCCACCACTCTATGTCATTAAATGAAAAAATTTAATATATTTACATTCAAGGTTATTATTGATAGGTGATTGTTTACTACTGCCATTTTTTACATGTTTTTTGTTTATTTTGCAGATCCTTTCTTTTTGTCTTACTATTTTCCTTTGTGGTTAAGTAATTTTCTCTGGTGGTATGATTTGATTTTGCACTATTTATTTTTCGTGTATCTGTTTTAGATTTTTGCTTTGTGGGTATCATGAGGTTTACATTATCATCTCATTGTTTTAACAACTTAAACAGATCATAACTCAACTTTAATTGCAAAGAAAAAAAGTAAAATACACAAACTATATACATTGACACCACCTCCCCACTTTGACTTTTTGATGTTTTCATCTATATCTTTTTATTTTGCGTAACTCTTCTTATTCAATGTTTGTAATGATTTTTGTTTCAATAGTTTTGTATTTTACTCTTCATATTTAAGATGTAAGTGGTTTACTTACCCTATTTACATTATTAAAATATTCTAAATTTGTATATTTTCTTTCTTTTACCAGGAAATTTAATATCTCTAGATTTTGTCTTTGTTGTTACATGTTAGCACTCTTTGTGTGAGGGGGTTGAAGAATTACCTTTGGCATTTTTTATGATGCAGGTTTGATGTTGATGTTATGAAAGGAAAATATCTTGGGGCCCAAAATCACTGAGAAGAACTCAAGTTGGAAACTGCTTAAGGCAAATCTGCCTTCCGTTCTATTCAAATTTATCCCTCTACTCACTGGGATAGATGCATGTCTGATTGCCTCCTTGGAAAGGCTAACAAGAAACTCAAAAGAATGCAACTGTTTGTGTCTTACCTATCTTTGACCTGGAAGCTCCCTCCCACTTGGAGTCTTCCTGCCTTTGCTTCAAGTTGTCCCAGCTTTCCAGACCAAACCAATGTACTTTTTACATATATTGATTAATGTCTCATGCCTCCCTAAAATATACAAAACCAAGCTGTGCCCTGACCACCTTTGACACATGTCATCAGGGCTTCCTGAGGCTGTGTCACAGGTGTGTCCTCAACCTTAGTAAAACAAACTTTCTACATTAACTGAGACCTGTCTCAGATTTTCTGAGTACACGATGTATTCCTTCAGGTTTAAAAAAATTTTGGGCTGGGCGCAGTGGCTCATGCCTCTAATCCCAGTACTTTGGGAGGCCGAGACAGGCGGACCACGAGGTCAGGAGATCGAGACCATCCTGGCTAACACGGTGAAACCCCGTCTCTACTAAAAATACAAAAAAAATTGCTGGACGTGGTGGTGGGCACCTGTAGTCCCAGCTACTCAGGAGGCAGAGGCAGGAGAATGGCGTGAACCCGGGAGGCAGAGCTTGCAGTAAGCCGAGATCG